CTAGACAAGAACTTTACTATTTAAGCCATGCTTACAGTCCATGAGAGTCTAATCTAACTGAGAAAAAGAAAAATGAAAAAAGGTATATTTTATGGAAAAGATCACAAACTTTGGTTTTAGACATTGTGTTAGTAAGGCTGCTATAACAAACTACTGTATACTAACAGCTTTAAACAACAAATATTTATTGCTCAGAGTTTTATAGTCTGTAAGTCCAACTTTAAAATGGTGTGAGATGTTATGTCTGCTAAAGGCCTACTTTCTGGTATGCAGAAGGTGGTATTCTTATATTCTCACATGGCAAAAGGCAAGCTAGCTAGCTCTCTGGCTCTTCTTTTTTTTTGGGTGGGGGCGGTCTGGTCGTGGGGCCTGAACTCAGGGCCTGGGCGCTGTCCCTCAGCCCTTCAGCTCAAGGCTAGTGCTCTACCACTTGCGCCACAGCACCACTTCTGGCTTTTTTTCTTTTTGCTTATGTGGTGCTGAGGAATCAAACCCAAGGCCTCAGGCATGCAAGGCAAACACTCTACCACGGAGCCACCTACCCAGCCCTGGCTCTTCTTTTTAAGAGAACTTGGGAGGGCCCGATCTCACCTAAGTACTTTCCAAAAGTTTCACCCCCAAATATCACCAAAGTAGGATTAGGGTTTCACTCTATGAATTTGCGAGGTACATAAACATTCAGAACATTACAAACATGTTAGAGCTGAGGTGCTGGTAGGTCAGGGAAGTGGGAACACAGAATATTAAATCAGATGTATAGAATTAGAAGTCTTTGTTGAGTAGATATCATTGAAGGAAAAGTGTGAGCAAAAGAAAATCAGATGAGGCAAAGGTAGGGGTGCCATGAAGAAGACAAAGGGAAGTCCTCAAACAAGGAAGAGGACAGAAGCAGACACAAGAAAATGGAAAGACCTTCCATGCTTATGGATTGGCGGAATTGCTGTCATGAAAATGACTACTGACAAGAAATCTACAGATACAATTCTCATCAATATACTTGCATTCTTCAAAGACAGAGAAATCAATTAAAAAATTCACACCTGTAATACTAGCTACTCAGGAGGCTGAGATCTGAGGATTATGGTTCAAAGCCAGCCCAGGCTGGAAAGTCTGTGAGACTCTGATCTCCAGAAAACGGGAAGTGGCGCTGTGGTACAAGTGGTAGAGCACTAGCCTTGAGGGAAAGCACCCAGGCCCAGAGTTCAAGCCCCATGACCAGCAAAAAAATAAATAAATAAATAAATAAATGGAAGTGCCTGTTAACCCTAACTATTCAGGAGGCTGAGATCTCAGGATTGAAATTCCAAGCCAGCTGAATGGAGGTGGGTGAGGGGGTGGAATCTGTGAGATAACCCATTCTCTGAAGGTATGTAGGGTTAGAAGTCAAGCATAGTGAGAATCCAAGGAGAAAGACTCTAGAAAAGAATAAACAAATGAACTGGGTTGTGGATAATTTGTAGTAGTTTTAATAGAGTGGTTTTGGAGAAGGCCGATTACAAAGAGTAAAGGAAAAAAAGAAAACAAGACAACAAAGATAGTTTACTATAGAGAAGAAATTCCTAATCAAGAGTCCAGAATTCTAGTTTCTCATTCACTAATCAAGTTGGCTTAGTTTTTAAATGATAAAATAGGAGTGTGGCTCAGGTGGTAGAATACTTAACTAGCAAGCACAGATTCCTCAGTTCAAACCACAGTACTCTTCCCACACCCAAACACACACACACACACACACACACTCACACACACACAGACATGTTATAGGCCAAGGATAGTGACTCATACTAATAATCCCAACTACTTGGAAGGAAGGGCTATGAAAAATGATAGTTAAAAGTGATTCAGAGCAAAAAAAGTTATTGAGACAAAATCTCCATAGCTGGTATATGGCTGTGATCGCAGGTTTTTAAAGGAAGTGTAGATAGGAGGATCCCATTCCAAGACTAACCCAACACACAAACACAAGACCCTATCTAAAAAGTAACAAAAGCAGTCAGGGGCTGGTGGTATGTCTCAAGTATTAGTGCTTGTCTGGCAAATAAAAGGCCCTGAGTTCAAATTCCAGTACTACCAGAAAGTAAATTTAAAAAAATAAAATGGGGGCTGGGAATGTGGCTTAGTAATAGAGTGCTTGCCTAGCATACATAAAGCCTTGGGTTCGATTTCTCAGTACCACATAAACAGAAAAAGCTTGAAGTGGTGCTATGGCTCAAGTGATAGAGTACTAGTCTTAAGCAAAAGAAGCTCAGAGACAGTGCCCAGTACAGATGCTAGCTTCACAATGTGAAAAGAAGAAAAGATAATGAAGGCATGCTGTATGGCATATTGAAATAAACTTACAAATATTATCTATCATAATTATTTAAAATATTATAGCTACTGAATTAGGGCCTGGCATGGTAGTGAACACTCAAAATCCCAGCCCTCCAGTGGCAGGAGGATTTCCAAGGTTTGCTTGGTCTACGTAGGGAGATGGTTTCTTAAAGGGAAACTAAAAAAGTATAGAAGTAGACAGGAAGCAAGAAGTTACAAGATGCTACAGAAAGAAAAACAACTCATACAAGAGATCACCAGTGTCATCAGGTTTTTGTTGTTGATTTTTGGGTTTTGTTTGTATGTTTGTTTTTTTGGTCATGAGGCCTGGTTGCTGTCCCTCAGCTATTCAGCTGAAGGCTAGTGCTCTATCATTTGAGCCACAGTGCCACTTTCAGTTTTCTGGTGGTTTATTGGAGATTAGAGTCTCACAGACTTTCTTGCTTGGGCTGGCTTTGAACTGCGATCCTCAGATCTCAGCCTCCTGAGTAGCTAGGATTACAGGCATGAACCACTAGCACCAGGCTTGAAGATACACTTTGTTGACATTCAGCATATTTAAATACTACAGAATGAATTTATAAAAGTTAAAAGCAATACAGTAGACTGAATACAAGACATTAGACAATGAAGTGGAATATGAGTATATTGTAGACTATGTAGAGTCAATCAGACTCTGTTGCGCCTCCATAATTCCTACCTGAGCATTAATAATTAATATAGTAAACACGTGTGGAAGTATCATAATGAAATTCCCCTTGTAAAAATAACGTGAGCTAATTTCAAGAAAATACACAAGCCGGGTTCTAGTGGCCCTGTAATCCTAGCTACTCAAGGAGCCTGAGGTCTAAGGACTGAGGATTGCAGTTTGAAGCCAGCCTAGGCAAGAAAGTTTTTGAGACTCTTATCTCTAATAAACTACTCAGAAAAAAGCAAGTCCAAGAGATTCTTATCTCCAATAAACTATTTAGAAAAAGCCAGAAGTAGTGCTGTGGCTCAAATGGTAGAGCCTAGGCCCAGTGTTCAAGCCCCAGGACTGGCAAAAAGAAAATTACATGGCTGACTCACTTAGAGTTGTTAGTATAGACTGGCACTATGCTAGATACAATGAAACTGGCAGGACAGGATTTCTAGCCTATGAAATTAAAGACATGATGACCAAGTGATTGAAGGCATTATACATATATGTGTATGTGTGTATATATATGTGTGTGTGTTTGTGTGTGTGTGTATGTATAAGGGTATGTGTCTTTTTTT